TAATCGCATAGCGATTGAGCTGTATGAAGAGCGGTAGAGCTGTAACAACGGCGAAGCGAATGGTCCGCGACAGCCATGTACGGCGAATCGAATAAACAAAACCGATCCTACTGCTCGTGTTCCAACCCATTCGGCAAATCAATTGAGTAACTTTATTTTGCTGGGAAATGGTCTGCGTCCTGTGCGTTTGCAGTTTTCCGATCTTACCTCGTCGTTTCTGCCTAAGCTGGATCCTTCGTAGTAACTTCGTGGTGATAGTAACTAATAACGATGGCTTCCTACACTCTGGTGCGCAACAAGTTTCCAGCGGAACCCGTTCCCCTCTTATCAGGCGCAGGAGACTCAGTAGCACACGTATGGGTCAGTGATCACTCCAATCCCGACGCTTCACGCTTCACTTTCCGGTTTAGAACTGATTACGCACCTTAGCCGTCTCTATCACCTATAGGCGCGATTTTGTAAAAACCGATCGCTAATCCTCTCTCAGTTATATTCAGCGACGAGACTTGAAAGGAAACAGAATCAGTTCACCATGGGAGTATCAAGGCGTTTGAACTGCAGCTCCGTCAGTCTGTCTACCTTTCAGACTAGAAATTTGTCGGGAGGGTGAAGTACAGAACCTAAACGACTGGTTGCAGGTGCGATTCGTGATGGGACTGACCGCACCTGATTGATGTAGCCTGGCGAAAAAGGGAATGCAATCTGGGAGGACAATAAGAAGTCTTAGCCGGTAAACTGAATAGATGAAAGTGATTGAAGAACAAAAACGAGAACGATTCGTGGAACAACAGAAATAAATTGTGTGTAGATGAACGCGATTCAAATGAAAAAAGTAAAATCAGGAGAACTGGAAATAGGATACGAAGTTCCTAATCCTGACTTCTTTTTCTAAGCATCTCTGGATTCACAGAACTAAAATTTTATGGTCGATGGTAACATATACTTTTCAAGGGCCTATTCCATGACTAAAAGAGGATTCAGGAAGATCCAATCGTTTGATAAGATAAATTAATCCGCAAGTGCAGGCATTTACCATATTCTCACCAATTGTGTGTGGGTACCTTGCACTAGAGACAGCTGTAATTAACTATGTTAAAAAGGTAAGGCCAAAAATGAGGTAGTAAGAATGGATTGGATGTCATCGATTCAGGTGCAGCAGTAAGAATGAAGAAAGACCAATCTGAATACCGACCTATCTGAATACCTCTTTGCTTATTCTCGCCCCTGTCAAGCCATCTAGGTAATTACACCCCAAAAAAGCTCTTCCCCTGTAAGCTCTTCCCCTGTAAGCTCTTACGGAGTCAGACCACGTCCTAGCCTTTATTTGGAAACTGTAGAGCGCAAATCCGAAGCTGAGGTGAATACAGACGGCGGGCATGCAATATGACACCCTATAAACTCAGTCCGATAGAGTGAAATGTGCAAATCTTCGATAAGAATTTCGAAGAGGATTCATCTTTGCCCTCATCTTCTAACGTAGGAGCTGTAGTGTCGCCATTATGCTTAGCAAGTTTGTGGATTGTTTGCCGAAAGTGCTGTCGACAAACTTGACGAGGAGGGCAGATTCAGACGACTTCTACGACAAGTATGCACGGCTTGGGAATCAGGTCTTGAGTGGTATTACCTCAGACCAACCAAGCCCGTCCTATCCCAATGTGACGGTTAACTGATACCAAACTAATTTGAAACGAAAATGCTAACAAGCGAAAAACATAGAAAACAAACTAATCGTAAACATATAAGTCAGCAAGGATTCATAATATTTAGCAAATGTAAGAAAAAATGCTCGAATCAACGTGATGTCCCGAACTTCATTTTAAATAAGAAAAGGATATGGAATATACGTAGCAGCGTATATGATGTGAAAAATATAGGATGTGCTTCTATGTAGCACATATTTCGACTGTTACAAGCAGTCATGAGCAATTTGTATAAGAAACTGAGCAGTGTAATTGTGTAGGCATCAAGAAAAAATGGCTAATGGTAAGCTCTACGCATGAAAACTTACAGTTTTCTTTCAGTCCACCGGGAATCCACTCGATTCCGAGGTGCTCTCTCAGCTTGTCTCGCTCTGCTTCATATCCGGGCATGCATGCTGAGCCTGGAAAGGAGGAGGCTAACTGTCGTGTACCCTCAGTCACCATGTAGTTCGTTTGCCAGAGAGCGAGTATAAGCAGAAAGAAATTGATCGACAAATTGGTAAAGTCGTTTATAGTAAGGGAAGTGGTATAGTAACGGTAACAATTGGCTCAGTAACCAGATATTCCAAAAATAACATTGAAGGACATAGAAGGTATAAATTTTCAATAAAGATCGATTTAACTTACCAAACCGGATCAGAATAACCAACAGGAAAGCTGACGGCCGTGTCATTTCCTGAGCAAATTGGGGGTAATAATCAGCAGAAACAAAGTCTAGCGATGGTGATGTATGAGTGCGTGTCTGTAAGAGAACCCGTTAGTGAAGAGTGCCCGCCTTGACGAAAGAAGCCAAAACAGGAGCCCGACGGGGAGTGGGAAATCTCGAACCAAAGCTGAAGGATAGTGAAAAAGCATGCGTCCAGCTTCCCTGCCTCGATCCTTCAAATGGGCATGAGCGTAATCGAGTGGTTGAAATGACCTCCTCTTCTGTTCTCTATTGTGAAACATCTTTGAAAAGGAAATCGCTTTGTTCCGTCTCCTCCGAAACCTAATAATGCTGTGAGAAACCTCCGCAAATTGATCGTACGTTGTGGTTGAAAAAATATATTGTAGCGGTTTTTGAGAGAGGAAATACAGTAGCGCTCAAAAGTCTTCTGCCAAACGGCCCAACACTTTCGTTCATAACTTTTTTGTTAGTAGACCAAATCGCGCAAAATTTGGATATGTTTAGCTAGAACATATTTCACCCTACTGAACACTATTTAACTGCGAAGCTGCGGGTGTGGGACGTTAGTCTCGAATGACATTGCTTCGCGCCGAGGTGCGAAGTGACCTCATTAGTGACTAACCTCATCTTAATTACGCGACTCCCCTTGAACGTGTCTAACCTCAACTACCTATGAAAGTGATGGCAATGTTGAAAATAGTGAGGAAATGTAATCTCAAGAAAAGTAGTCTTTTAACGTAAAATTTTCATGGTCTTCGGTTTTAAAGTTTTATTACCATGCAAGATGAT